CAGAGACCCCCTCTCTCTCACACACACTCACTCACTCACTCACTCACTCACTCACTCACTCAGAGACACACTCTCACACACACACTCACTCACTCACTCAGAGACACACTCTCACACACACACACACTCACTCACTCACTCAGAGACGCACTCTCTCACACACACACACTCACTCACTCTCTCAGAGACACACTCTCTCTCACACACACACACTCACTCACTCTCTCAGAGACACACTCTCTCTCACACACACACACTCACTCACTCTCTCAGAGACACACTCTCTCTCACACACACACACTCACTCACTCTCTCAGAGACACACTCTCTCTCACACACACACACTCACTCACTCTCTCAGAGACACACTCTCTCTCACACACACACACTCACTCACTCTCTCAGAGACACACTCTCTCTCACACACACACACTCACTCACTCTCTCAGAGACACACTCTCTCTCACACACACACACTCACTCACTCTCTCAGAGACACACTCTCTCTCACACACACACACTCACTCACTCTCTCAGAGACACACTCTCTCTCACACACACACACTCACTCACTCTCTCAGAGACACACTCTCTCTCACACACACACACTCACTCACTCTCTCAGAGACACACTCTCTCTCACACACACACACTCACTCACTCTCTCAGAGACACACTCTCTCTCACACACACACACTCACTCACTCTCTCAGAGACACACTCTCTCTCACACACACACACTCACTCACTCTCTCAGAGACACACTCTCTCTCACACACACACACTCACTCACTCTCTCAGAGACACACTCTCTCTCACACACACACACTCACTCACTCTCTCAGAGACACACTCTCTCTCACACACACACACTCACTCACTCTCTCAGAGACACACTCTCTCTCACACACACACACTCACTCACTCTCTCAGAGACACACTCTCTCTCACACACACACACTCACTCACTCTCTCAGAGACACACTCTCTCTCACACACACACACTCACTCACTCTCTCAGAGACACACTCTCTCTCACACACACACACTCACTCACTCTCTCAGAGACACACTCTCTCTCACACACACACACTCACTCACTCTCTCAGAGACACACTCTCTCTCACACACACACACTCACTCACTCTCTCAGAGACACACTCTCTCTCACACACACACACTCACTCACTCTCTCAGAGACACACTCTCTCTCACACACACACACTCACTCACTCTCTCAGAGACACACTCTCTCTCACACACACACACTCACTCACTCTCTCAGAGACACACTCTCTCTCACACACACACACTCACTCACTCTCTCAGAGACACACTCTCTCTCACACACACACACTCACTCACTCTCTCAGAGACACACTCTCTCTCACACACACACACTCACTCACTCTCTCAGAGACACACTCTCTCTCACACACACACACTCACTCACTCTCTCAGAGACACACTCTCTCTCACACACACACACTCACTCACTCTCTCAGAGACACACTCTCTCTCACACACACACACTCACTCACTCTCTCAGAGACACACTCTCTCTCACACACACACACTCACTCACTCTCTCAGAGACACACTCTCTCTCACACACACACACTCACTCACTCTCTCAGAGACACACTCTCTCTCACACACACACACTCACTCACTCTCTCAGAGACACACTCTCTCTCACACACACACACTCACTCACTCTCTCAGAGACACACTCTCTCTCACACACACACACTCACTCACTCTCTCAGAGACACACTCTCTCTCACACACACACACTCACTCACTCTCTCAGAGACACACTCTCTCTCACACACACACACTCACTCACTCTCTCAGAGACACACTCTCTCTCACACACACACACTCACTCACTCTCTCAGAGACACACTCTCTCTCACACACACACACTCACTCACTCTCTCAGAGACACACTCTCTCTCACACACACACACTCACTCACTCTCTCAGAGACACACTCTCTCTCACACACACACACTCACTCACTCTCTCAGAGACACACTCTCTCTCACACACACACACTCACTCACTCTCTCAGAGACACACTCTCTCTCACACACACACACTCACTCACTCTCTCAGAGACACACTCTCTCTCACACACACACACTCACTCACTCTCTCAGAGACACACTCTCTCTCACACACACACACTCACTCACTCTCTCAGAGACACACTCTCTCTCACACACACACACTCACTCACTCTCTCAGAGACACACTCTCTCTCACACACACTCACTCACTCACTCACTCAGAGACACACTCTCTCACACAAACACACACACACTCACTCACTCAGAGACACTCTCTCACACAAACACACACACACTCACTCTCTCAGAGACACACTCTCTCACACACTCACTCTCTCAGAGACACTCTCTCACACACACTCACACGCAGTCACTCTCTCTCACACACACACACACTCTCTCTCTCACACACACACACACACACTCACTCACTCTCAGAGACACACTCTCTCTCACACACACACACTTTCTCTCAGAGACACACTCTCTCAGAGACACACTCTCTCTCACACACTCACTCACTCACTCTCAGAGACACACTCTCTCTCACACACACACACTCACTCTCTCTCTCACACACACACACA